AGGACTTCTGGTGTCACGGTTCTACTAACGACCAATAGGTCAGTGACTTGAATCTACCAGCAACTGTATAAGACAAAGATGTGGCAGCCAGCTTCTGTAACTCTCACAGCCTTGGGGATGTTCTGCTGTGTCCTAAAAGGTCACATGAGTTGCAGCTATCTTGACAGCAGTGGGTTTGGTTTTCTGTTTTACTAAGCATGATGTCTTTCTCCCAGGACTAGTTCCTTCTTATAATATGTCCACAGTATATGAGAAAATGTCTTGCTATCTCTTTTGGATTGAATTGTACCCCTCCCAAAATGTATTGATTTGACTTGGACACTGTTCTCAGTATTATGTAAGTGTCCTTTGTTTTGTGATCTGATGTAATTAGCCTCTATGTTGTAAATCCTAACCTCTATGATGGCAATGAGGCAGGATTTGTGACACTTATGCTCATGAGGGCAGTATTCAATGTGAAGGATTAGGTTGCACCTGAGCCGGTGTCTTTTGAGATATCAAAGAGGTTAAAGAGGTAAGCAGAAATTGGAGGGATCTCAGTGCCACCGAGAAAGAGCCAAGAGCAAGTATCCTTTGGATTCAGGTCCCTGCACTGGGAAATGCCTCCATACAGGAAAAGAGCAAGATGTGTGGAGATCACCAAGGAAGATTGGGTCTAAGATGTTAAAATGAGACAAAAAATACCCTCCAGAAGGGACAGTGGGAGAAAGCCTTCCTCTCAGTTCAGAACTTTGCATTTGGACTTCTAGCCTTCTAAACTGTGAGAGAAGGGGAGCTCTGGTGGCCTAGTGGTAAGGAGCTGCAAGTACAATCCCAGAGGCGCATGGTTCGAATCCACCAGATGCTCTGCCGGGGAAGGAGGGACAATCTCCTCCTGTACCAGTCAGATGTGATTTGACGGTACACTCACACAAAAATAATAAAATTAAAAAAAAATAAACTGTGAGAGAATAAATTTTGTTAAAGTCACCTATTTGTGGTATTTCTGTAATAGAAACACTGGATATCTAAGACAGGATTTTTTTTTAACCAGGTGTTGTAACAGACACCAGGAAATAGCATTACAACCGAGGCTTTGAACCAGTTTATCCCAGTTCAATCATGGCCAAGGAAATAACCTCAGAATAGATCTAGATTTTTAAAATCTGATTGGACAGAAACAATAACCAGAGTAGGAAAAGTTTTGATTGAAAGCCTTGAAATGGGAGATTCAGAAGGGGCGTAGTGAATATTTACAAGAGCTTGATGTAGGAAATTGGATTATTGGCAGGACCATGGAGAGCAACACCCAGGCAGAGCAGTGGCTGGCAGTTTTCTGCCATCTTTGAGCAGGGCACTGTTACTTCCAAATCGGCAGGCAAGAGATTTGGTTTCTCTTCAACACATATGTAGCCTTAAGAAGGACATTGAATTTCTAGCAGGGCTTCAATCCATAATGCTGACCCCCATCCTGGTGGTCGCTATATTGTTGTTGTTATTAAGTGCCGTTGAGTCATAGATGACTCATGGTGACCCTATGAATGAAAGACCTGAACACTTGTAATTGCTTTCATCATTTCTCTAAGTTCATAGAGTTTCTGGAGGCAGACTCTTTTCAGACGTGGATGCCACTCCTGCTTCCAAGCCTGTTTTAATCGGGGAGCTCCATCAAACACTGTCCACCATGGGGAACCATTATCACATTTAACACATCAGTGTCACAGTGTTTAGCATCTATAGCCTATTTTGTTATTGTTATGTGCCTCTGACACACCTACCCTCATTACCTCAGTCATTGTATCAATCCTTTTCATTGATGGTCTCCCTCTCTTTCTTCATCCTTCTTCCCTTCCAAGCATGATGTCTCTCTCCAAAGACTGGTACTTCCTTGCAACATGACTAAAGTATGTCAGAGGAAGCCTCAGAATCCTTGCTTCCAAAGAGCAGATTGGCTTCACCCTTTCTAGGATGAACCTGCTTGTTCTCCTAGCAGTCCATGGTATATTCAGCACTCTTCTCCAGCACCACAGCTCAAAGTATAAATTTTTTAAAGTCTAGTCTTTTCCAGTGTCACTTTCTTGGTCATGACTAAACTGGTTGAAAACCCTGGTTCTAAGCTAGCTTCCCAGCCCCAGAAAGGACTTGACTTATGAGTGAGATCCCTGGGTTTATTCTGGCACTGATAGCAAGGATCGGGGGGCAGTTAGCCAGATGTGGGGTGCAGTGGAGCAGTTCTACGCCACAACACATGGGGTTGCCTTTCACTTAATAGCAACTAGTAATATGACTGCCAAGAGAAAGCAGATTCTGAGCGTTCCCTTTGAAACACGTACACTGAGAGAAATTATAGCAAAAGCTCAAAATCTAAACTCAACTGAGGTTGGGTCATTTCCTACTAATGGCCTCTCTAGAGAAGAGTAGAGTTTCCAAGTCTATAAATACATATGGAATCAGAGTATCTCAACTTTCTCCATTGGAGGCTTGGCACATTTAAATTATTGACTTTTTTCATTGTTGTTTGTTGTTGTGATGTGCTGTCAAGTCGCCTGCGATTCATAGCAACCCTATGTACAACAGCTCTGAGCTCTACTCTATCCTGAGCCAACATTATCATCTCTGACACACCCATTATCCCAGTCACTGAGTCAATCCACCTCATCGAGGGTCTTCCTCTCTTGTGCTGTCATCAGAAGTCTTAATTCTTTTTTAAAAAATTTTATTATTTTTGTGTGAGTGTACCGTCAAATCAGATCTAACTGGTACAGGAGGAGACCGTCCCTCCTTCCCCGGCAGAGCATCCGGTGGACTCGAACCATGCACCTCTGGGATTGTAGTTGCAGCTCCCTGCCACTAGGCCACCAGAGCTCCCCAGAAGTCTTAATTCTTTAGCCACTATGCCGTCTGGGTCTTTTGATATTGTAGCCGGTGCTGCTAACTTCCGGTCTAACCATCATCCTTTCTCCCTTCACATTCCTTTTTCTTGTCCACATTCCACGAAAAAAGACTAGAAATGACAGCTGTTCCTGTTCCCAGACTGCCTTGCAACTCAGGTGGCCAGGGAGCCAATTCTGGCAAATGCAAAGTCAGGTGAATGTTCTTCCGATGCACACAGGAGGGGAGGGCCCCATCCACATTTTCTGCTTTTGACAGCACTCTGGGAAAACATCATGTAGACAATTTGTACCCGAGAGGGGAAGGCAAAACGAATCTCACAGGCTCCAACCCAGTGCCTGACACCAATGAGCAGCTGAGCAAACTGTCTTTGAAAGATCTGTTAGTGGGGAACGGGGTGGGGGGAGAAATATCTGGCACGTAAGCAATTTTGGTTGGAATTCTTTTATTTGCAGCCGAAGACATCATAGAAGATGCCATATGATTAGCCTGGAGTTTATAAATTATTACCAGTCTTATGAACTCTTGCAAAGACTTGCTAGAGGACGAAGTCAAGAAGGAGAAAAGCAGGAATGAGAGCTCCTTGAACACCTTCATCCCGCCATGCCTGAAGTCCTCTGTATCCCATTAGACTCTAAGGATTGTGACTGATGGTGGTGTGGGTTGCATTTTTTTAAATTTTTGGTTTTTATTGTTATTAATTTTAATGAAAATTTACAGAGACTTTGGATTCCATTCATTCATTGTTGCACTTTTCTCCCTGCCCACCCTTCCTCCCAGTCCAGTCTTCTTTTTGAAAACTAAAAGAAAATTTCTTTCATTGCTATGCAATCCCTCCCCCTGGTCCATTCCACTATGCAATCTTCGTTCTGGGCTCCTGTCATGACAATAATACCTAATCACATATCCCTTTTAAACAGCTTTCTCCCTAATCTATTTCAATGCACTATACATTATTTATCTCAACTTTCTTGCTCTCCCGTGGGTTGCATATTTATCTCTTAGACTCAAAATGGTCTGAGATCCAAGGCTGTTGGCTGATCCCAAGTCGTGGTGATCCTGAAGGATGGAGTAGAAGTGCCTGACGTCTTTGCTGAGGTTGTAAATCTAAGCAGATTGTCCAGTCTTTCTCCCAGGAAGGGGCTGGTGGGACCGAACTGCCAACCTTTTGGTTAGCAGGAGACTTAATCCACTATGTTCCCAGGGCTCCTCAAAACAGCCCTATTGTTGTTGTTGTTAAGCGCCATTGAGTTGACTGCAATGGCAGCGATTTGTGAAGCAACAGACCAAAAATTTTTCCTGCACCGTCATCGCCATTTCCAACATGCTTAAGCCTATTGTGACAGTCACAGTGTCAGCATATCTGGTGGAGGGTCTTCCTCTCTTCCTCTAACCCTCCACTTTCCCCAGCATAATGTCTTTTCCTAAGGACTGATCCCTCCTGACAGCACACCCAAAGTATGTGAGATGAAGTTTCACCATCCTTGCCTCTAAGAAGCACTCCTCTGGTTACCCTCCCTCCAAGACAGACTTGTTTGTTCTTTTGGCAGCCCCTGGGATAGTCAAAACACCGTTTTTCAAAGACATCAATTCTTCTTCAGTCTTCCTTATCCACTAATTTTCCGACGCATAGGAAGCAAATGGAAAGAATGTGATTTTGATAAGGTGCACCTTAGTCTTTAAGCTGACATCCTTGCTCTCCTCAATGTAATTTTCCAAGGCACTTTGATGACGTATGGGGTTAAGTATTGGACTGTTGGCTGAAAGTTCTGTGATTTGAAGCCATCAGCTGCTCAGATGGAGAAAAAACACGAGGCAATGACTTTCTGACGAGATCGGGCACGTTCAGGGTGGTATGGCCGTAGACATGAGGCAATGACTTTCTGTAAAGAAGGATTTCTAGTGAGGAAGATCTTCCAGGGCTATTGTGCTCTGTCCTACAGAGTCACTGTGAGCTTGAATCAGACTGATGGCCGTGGGTTAATATAATTTCTAGAAACCAAGGCTCAGAGGGATATGTTAGGTTGTCCAGGGTCAACCAGGACATGAATGAAAAGGGCATTTATCTGAATGCTCAGCCTGAATGCTGAGGTTAGCTTCCCAGCCCCAGAGAGAACAGGAGTCCAAGGTGGAGTGAGACCCACGGTGTATTTATTCCGGCATTGATAGCAGCAGTGTTTGGGGGATCGGCCAGACGCGGGGTGTGGTGGACAGAAGAGTGGACACAGGACACAGGTGTGTGCTTGTGTCTGGGGGAGTACAGAGGATTGATCCTTTGACATTCACAGCGAGAACAAGGGTCAGGACACCAAGTCTTGGACAAACAGCAAAGAGACCGACAGACAGACAGACAGACGGAGGGTTTCAGGGGGCAGGGGTCCCCCAGACATGCACGGCCCCTCGCCTCAAGGGGGAGCCCCAGGGAAAGGAAGACAAGACACAGTAGAGACTGAATGCCCCCCACCCTGAAACAGGGCGCTGGGCCCGCCTGTCCCCCGCCCGCGAGTCTGGGGCGGGAACTATGCGCGGGGCCCAGGGCTGCCCGCACCACGCAGCTCGGACGTTATGGCTTCGAGGAGATGAATTCACGGTCCGGGCAGGAAGGGAGGGGGTCCTGAGGGGGCCTAGGCCAGACCTGAGGGAGGCGAAAGGAAGAAGTGGGCAGAGATGACCCCAAGGCACAGCGCCTTCACCACCCCAGGTCCCCCTCCCGCTCCCCCGTTTCCCCCTCTCCACTCCAAGCCCTGTCCTGAGCCCGCCTCCCTGACCAGACTCTGAGGTTTTCTCCCCTAGACGCATTCCTGACCCCCACAGGTTGTAAATCAGAACCCCCGCCCCTCTTCCCTCCTGAGAATCCTGACCCCTTAGCCCCTCAGACCCGGGGAGTCCTGCACAGGCCAGCCCCTCCTCCCTCAGACCCTCCTCCCTCGGATTCTGGAGTCCTGACCCCCAGCCCCTCCTCCCTCAGACCCTGCAGTCCTGACCCCCAGCCCCTCCCCATCCTGCTCCTTACCCCTCACTCTGAGTTCTCTTTCTCTGACAGTCCTTTGCTACCTTTTGTGAAGCTGGTCAAAGTCTTTTCCTGAAAAGAGAAGACCAGAATGTTCACAGCGCTGTGAGGCGAGGGGAGGGCAGAGACAAAACAGAAAGTCAGCACCAGGGAGTCCTGGTGACACAGTGGGTTCCAAGTTAAGCTGCAAACCAAAAGGATGCAGGTTTGAATCCACTCGCCGCTCTTCGGGAGGGAAACAAACAAATCCACACCAAAGAGCCCCCACCCCTAAACCACTCATAAAGATTTACAGCCTCAGAAACCCAATGGGGGGTGGAAAGGTTGTTCTTGAGTGAATAGACACAAGTCCTATTTCATTCGGTTCTGAGGTATGGAGCCAGTGGTATTACAAGCCTATTCTACAGATAACAAAACTGAGGCACGAATACAAGAGGTCCCAGGAAATGTGGGAAAAGGCTGCAGAAGTGGGCGAAGCTGGCCCCTCAGACCCTCAGCGTAGCTGGGACTTTGTGCTGTGGGGCAGTGGGGAGCCACAGAGGGCTGTGAGCAGGGGAGGGGCTGGCCAGTCGTAGGCATTGAAAGGTTCAAGGTCAGCCTGGGGTCTGGCTTCCTCTGTGCCCATCAAGGGGCTCTTGTGGTGCTGTGGTTAAAGCATTTTTTATAACTTCCCTTTCCGCACCAAGTGGAAGGTTCTAAGCCATTAGCTGCTTCTTGGGAGAAAGCAGAGGCCAGACAGGTCCTAGAAAGGATGGCAGCCTTGCAAATCCTGCAGGGCAGTGCTGTTCTATCCTCTAGGGGCGCTGTGGCTCAGAGTCAACCATGGCAGTGGGGTTTGTCACTGTTCAGCCTGGGGTCGGGTCTATGGGGGTTCTGCGTGCTGCTGGAGAAGCCTATTGGTTAAATGAACGCATAAGTCACAAAGAGAAGAATTAATGACAGAAGGTGGGGGTGTGGGCAGACCTTGGTGATACCAGCTTTTGTTGGCTTTGCCTCCACAATACAAGACCACCACAATACAAGCAAGTCGTGTGGATTTTTTGACATCTCAATGAACAGAAGAGTCTTAAATAAACTACTAATAAATAAAATTATTTTATTTATTAGATAAACTCTGGCAGCATAGTGTGTTTGGTTTTTTTAATTTAATTTTTTTTGCACTTCCGTAATAGCTTGCCTCCGGAAACCCTATGAACATGGAGAGAGGATGAAAGACACCCAACCGTTGAGGACTCTCCTTCATAGGGTCGCTATGAGTCACCTGTCACTCGATGGCACTTAACAACAACAACAACAAGTACCATCAAATCAGATCTGACTGGTACAGGAGGAGATTGCCCCTCCTTCTCCAGCAGAGCATCTGGTGCATTCAAAACCGTGCACCTCTGGGATTGCAGTGCAGCTTCTTGCCACTAGGCCACCAGAGCTCCCTGAATATCATGTTTTGTGGTTTGTGCTGTTAATGAAAAGATCAGAGGTTTGAATCCACCAGTTGCGCAGTCGGATAAAAGGTGGTCTCCTCTTTAAGATGTATGTCCTCAGAATCCGGATGGAAGGCTATCATGGGTCAGAATTAATCTGATGGGAGGGGTTTGGGTTTGCTTTCATGTCAAATAGCCCATTAAGTGTGCAGTCGTTGTTGTTAGGTTGCATTGTATCAGCTCCAATGTCAAGCGTCGTTAACTCTGACTCATATGGACTGTGTAAGCCACAGCTCTGAACCTCGCCTGTTGCTGTGTCCTCGCCTCCATCTCTGAAAAGGTTTAAGTCCATTGCTACAATCCCTGAGTCAATCCTTCTTGATGAGGGTTTTCCTCTCTTCCACAGACCTTCTACCTTTCCCAGCATGATGTCTTTTTCCTCCTGACAACATGCCCCAAAGTATGTGACAGGAAGTTTTTACCCTCTCTGCCTCCAAGGTGTACCTGCTTTCACTTCCTCCAAGACCCACTTGTTTGTCTTTCTGGCAGTCCATGGGCTACATACAGCAGATTAAAATCCCTCCTGGGCTGTAACCCACCTCACCGTTGTCGCTGGGGGATGGGTGAGCTCATCACTGTAGTCATGGTGTCAGTCTAGCTTGTTGAAGGCTGACCCTTTTTCTTTATGGAAGAGTGTGAAATATTGAGAATGTGAGAATGGCTAGAATATGGCAGAGTCACAAAGTGAGAACACGCTGTGGGGGAAACAACATCCGTACACTTGTCCCTCACAAGGTTCCCCAGACCTTCAATCTATTAGAAACACAGTACCTGTGACACGGAATACAAGGAGAGGCGTCTAGCACTACTCTCTTATTTGCCTAAGAAGCCAGTCTCTTCCAAACGCCAATCTCAGGCCTATGCACCGATGCTCTGATTGTTCTTGTAACTCCTTGTCTCTCTTGGAAACAACTCTGAAGCAAAGCCACAACTGTTGTTAAGTGCTGTCAAGTCAATTTCGACTCAGCCACCACATGTGACAGAATGGAACTGCCTCACTGGGCTTTTGCAACTCTAATCTGTTTCAGCCGGAAAGATGAAGACAGATTGACATAGTATTTACGACGATGGGCTTGAACACAGCAGAGACTGTGCGGGTGGTATAGGACCAGGCAGGGTTTCTGTCTGTTGCATACATGGGGTTCGCTGTGTGTCAGAGCTGATTATATCACAACATCAAGAAAACAAAAAACCTCTCCACTTAACACCATGATAGATTGGGGGGGGGGTAGAAATTGAAGTTATCAACAAGTTCACTTTCCTTGGTAAAAAGAACAAGCAATATCCATGGTAACAGCAGTCAAGAAATTAAAAGACATGTTGCATTGGAAGTGTGCCGCCAAGGACCTCTCTGCAAAGTGTTAACAAGCAAGGATGTCAGACTAAAGACTAGGGTGCGCCTGACCCAAGCCATGATCTTTTACATTACTTCCTATGCCTCTGAAAGGTGGACAATAAAGGAAGCTGACAGCAGAAGGATCTGTCGATGCCTTTGAGTTGGGATGTTGGAGAAGGAGTAATGAATACCCTACAAGTTGCCAAAAGAACAAGTTTGTCAAAGTGTAACCAGGGTGCTCCTTCGAAGCAGAGATGATGAAACTTCATCCTATGTACTTTTAGGTGAGGGCATGTTATCTGGAAGAGGCAGTCCTTGGAAAAAGTCATCGTGCTGGGAGATGTTAGAGAAAGGGCGGAAGATCCTTAACCAGATGGATTGACAGAGTGACGGCAACATGGGCTCAGCCAGGCTGGGGAACATGAGGACGGTACAGGATAGGACCAAGCTCAGATCTGCTGTTCATAGGATTGCTATGAGTCATAGTTGACTGGATGGTACCTAACAACAACAACAACAACAACAACAACATCTTTCCAAGCACAATGGAGGGTTGTGCAAACAGAGGAAGACCCTCAATGAGATGGCTTCACACAGTAACTCCAACAATAGGCTGGAGTATGGTGGTGCTACAATGCCTCACAACCACAGTGACAACGTCTTTTGATTCAAGAGCTCTAGTAATAGTTGTTGTTTGCCGTTGGGTTGGAACTGACCCATAGCTGACCCTCCAGCAGGTTTTCAAAGGCAGTTAATCTCATGGGAGGAGACTGCCCATCCTTCTCCATGAAGCAGCTGGTGGATTTGAACCACACGCCTCAGGATTGCAGCACAGCTTCTTATCACTCGGCTACCAGAGCTCCCTAGTAGTATAAATGTTCCAGTCAGGTATTCAATCCCATTAACCACCATGAGGAAGAAGAATGAGGCAGTATGCTCCTGTAAAGATTTACAGCCTTAAGAATCCTAAGAGGCACTTCTACCCTTGACTCAACAGTATCTAACAATCTTCACAGCATGGGTTGCTAACCAAAAGGTCGGTGGTTTGACACCACCAGCCATTCTTCAAGAGAACGATGAGGCAGCCTGCTTCTTCAAAACCCTAAAGGGAGCCTCTACCATGTTCATTCAAATCACAGTAAAAAATATAAAGAAAATGATTGTCATTCCGAGCCGTGGTTAGGCGGGGGTTAAAACACATGGCTGCTAACTGCACGTTGAACAGTTTGAATCTGCTAAGCAGCTCTGCTGGAAAAGAGCATTGCAATCTGCTTCCATAAAGATTTATAGTCTTTTAGGGAGGTCTGGTGGCCTAGTGGCAAGAAGCGGCACTGCAATCCCAGAGGTGCATAGTTCAAATCCATCAGATGATCTGCTGGAGAAGGAGGGACAATCTCCTCCTGTACCAGTCAGATTTGATTTGACGGTACACACACACATACACACACACACTTAAAAAAAAAAAAGACTTACAGTCTTGGAACTCCTTTGGGGCAGGGAACTCTCTCCTACAGGGGGGCTGTGAGTTGAAATTTGGGGGGGTGTTGGGTTTTAGTTGTCATTGACTTAATCAGCAGCTGGAGGGGGTAGTTTAGATTGGTTTATTAAATTTGTACATCTGTATTTTACAGGCTAGCTAAAGGCTTATCTAATTATTGAATCGTTTCCCAGAACTGTGTTCCTGCCACATTTACTGCTTCTCTGAGAGGGCTGAGTTGTCTAAAACAGAAGGCCGGCGTTGTCTTATATTTTTCTTTTCTTCTATTTTACTTCCTCCTTCCTATTTTTACTCACTCTAACCATTCTCACAATGTCGTATTAAGCTAGTTTAAATACATTTTTACTTTGAGTTGAGTGGAAATTTACAAAGCAGGTTGGCTTATCATTCAACCATTCACACACACATTTTGTTTTATGACATGGATTAAAATTTCCAAAACGTAATCATACTCTTCCCACTTCCTCTCTGTGGTTCTCATTTTCATTCATCCTTTCTGCCTTCAGAACTTTATCTTTAGGCAAATACTGTGCTTTGGATCTTCTGCGACTGCTCTGTTACTCTAAGGAGTCCATGCTTCCCTGGTATTCCTGGCCACCCTATACATCTGTCTATTGTTTGCAAACTGAGTCACAAGGGTGTATTTTAATGTATTTTGTAAATGGTTCCCAGCCTATTCTATTTCATATCTTTTTATTCTGGTTCTTTTTATTTTCTCTTGGAATGTTAAAGTCATTTGGGGGTAAGGGGAAGAAAGCATTGAAATTCACATCATTCTAAGCTTATTTTCTCTACACCCCCAAACAGAATTTTTAAAAACAAATCTATTTCAGGGGAGCTCTGGTGGCCTAGTGGCAAGAAGCTGCATTGCAATCCCAGTGGTATTTGGTTCAACTCCACCAGATGCTCTGCTGGAGAAGGAGGGGCAATCTCCTCCTGTCCCAGTCAGATCCGATTTGACAGTACACACACACACTAAAATAAAATTTAAAAAAATAAAAAAAAATCTATTTCTTTACTACCGTCTGGGGGCGCATTTTTACAGAGCAAAGTAAGTTGTTTATTCTGCAGTTTGTCTGCTAACCCAAGCCTTTCTGATGTTTCAAATCTACGAGCATCTCCAAGGCAAAAAGAAAAGAAATTCCTCCTTTTTAAATTACAGGCCTGGAAAGCCAGTGGACGGTCAGCTATGAGTTGGTTCCAACCCAACAGGAATGAATGCATGAGCTCTTCTTTAAGAAAGCTGATAACCAGAATTTTCCTCTCACCACTGGGAAGGGGGGCATTGAACTGCCAGACTCCATCCACCTTAGTAGCCAAGAGTCCAATGATATGCACCACCAATTGTGTGCAATTATGCAGTTAGCTATTTTCCAGTTTAGGGGAGTGAGGAAGAAAAAGAGTGAGATGAACCAATTTGTGGAACACAACTCAAGATGGGTTGTTTGGGGATTCGAACTCCAGCAGTGCGTGACGAGAGCGAAGGAGCACGGGCTTTGGGGGCTCCCACTCACCTCCACCAGCTGATGCCAGTGCTCCACCGGCTTGCGGGGGTTGGCCAGCATCTCTGCCCAGTGCTCGCGGCCGTGGGGGTCCGCAGCGTCGGGTCCCACGCGGCACACACCGATCACCTCGTTGTGGCCAATGCTGGGGAGGGAGGGGTGAGAACAGTGAGTCCACACAGAGGCAGTGAGGTGCCCGTGCACCCCTGGTCCCCCCCACATCCTGGCCGTTGGCCCCCTCACCAGTCATAGTCCACCACCGCAATGCTGAGTCCCACATTCTCTACGCTCTCGGGGGCCACGTCGAACACCAGCGCCTCATTGTACGTGGGGTTCAGTGTGTTCTTCTTGATGGAGGTTTTCCGCTTCTTCAGACGCCGCCCCTCGCTAATGAGAGAGGCTTTCACGTAGGGGTCTGGGGTGGGGAGAGAGTTGTGAGCAGCATTCCCGCCCCAGGCAGACCCCCAGCCCCTCTTCCCTCAGACCTGGGAGTCCTGACCCCCCAGACCACCTCCCTCAGACCAGTGAGTCCTGACCTCCAGCCCCTCCTCCCTCAGACCTGGGAGTCCTGACCCCCAGCCCACGTCCCTCAGAGATGGGAGTCCTGACCCCCAGCCCACGTCCCTCAGAGATGGGAGTCCTGACCCCCACCCAACCCCTCCTCCCTCAGACCTGGGAGCCCTGACCCCCAGACCACCTCCCTCAGACCAGTGAGTCCTGACCCCCACCCAGCCCTTCCTCCCTCAGACCAGGGAGTCATGACCCCCAGCCCACGTCCCTCAGAGCCGGGAGTCATAACCCCCCAAAACACCTCCCTCAGATCCAGGAGTCCTGACCCCCGGCCCCTCTTCCCTCAGACCCAGGAGTCCTGACCCCCAGTCCACGTCCCTCTGACTCAGGCGTCCTGACCCTCAGCCCTTCTCCCTCAGACCAGGGAGTCCTGACCCCCTCTCCCTCCTCCCTCTGACTCAGGAGTCCTGACCCCCAGCCCACCTCCCTCAGACCATGGAGTCCTGACTCCCACATTCCTCCGTCAAACTGAGTGTCCTTCTCCTCCCTCACCAGGAATTTGGTTCCTGACTCCTCTTCCTTCAGACCCAAGAGTTATCCACCAACACCTCCTCCCTCAGACTGAGTCAGGCCCTGACTCTTCCCTCAGGCCCCCAGTGCCTCCTCCCTCAGGCCCGGGAGTCCTGACCCCCAGCCCTCCTCCCTCAGACCCAGGAGTCCTGACCCCCAGCCCCTCCCCCCTCAGTCCCTGGAGTCCTGACCCCCAGCCCCGCCTCCCTCAGTCTCTTCATTCTGGCCCCCAGGCCCCTCGCAGGGCCCACCTGAGAAGCCAGTGAGGTCCATCGCTTTGAGGTTAGAGGCTTTGATGATGGTCACGGTGAGGCGCCCGGCCGTAGGGAGGTAGCAGAGTGAGAAGTTGAGCTCCCCAAGATCTGCCTTTTCCTGTAGTTGAGGAAACAGGGTTGAGCCTCCCACTGCCTCAGTCTCCTCCCTGTCACTTTCAGATTGTCTCTCCATCTCAGCCCCAGGCTGTCTTGCCTGCCTTCCCATCCACTTAACAATCTGACGCTGGGCCAAGGCCCGGGACTCCCTCCCGCCTCCTTGCATGGCTGCCCGCTTCCCACCTGCCCTCTGGGACCGTCAGAGCCTGTTTGTTCTGCAGGGAAGATGGGAAGAGGCAAGAGCGGGGGAGGGAGACAGCAGAGGACACAGCCTGGGACAGAGACCAAAAAGGGATATGGTTAGGGACCCAGGGAGGGAGAGAGAGAGACCCAGAGAGGATGAGACTCAGGGATGGGGGATAGGGGACAAAGAGGGACAAAGACCCAGGGAGAGAGGGAGGCAGAGACCCAGAGAAGGGAGGACAGAGACCCAGAGACCCAGAGAGGATGAGACAGAGAGTCGAGGAGAGGAAGAGGGACAGAGACTCAAGGAGAGAGGGGGGACAGAGACCCATAAAGGGGGCACAGAGACCCAGAGGGGGGACAGAGACCCAGAGAGAGAGGGACACCCAGAGAAAGAGGGGGACAGAGATTCAGAGGGAGAGGGGGCAGAGCCCCAGAGAGAGGGGGACAGAGACCCAGAGAGAGAGGGGGACAGAGACCCAGAGAGAGAGGTGGACAGAGACCCAGAGAGAGAGGGGGACAGAGACCCAGAGAGAGAGAGGGATAGACCCAGAGAGAGGGGGGACAGAGACGTAGGGAGACAGGGGGACAGAGATCCAAGGAGAGAGGGACAGAGACTCAGAGAGAGGGAGAGGGATAGAGACTCAAAGAGAAAGAGGGTTAGAGACCCAGAAACTGGGTGGGGTGGGGGAAGAGGGACCCAGAGAGACAAGGGGACAGAGATGCAGAGAGACGGGGGACAAAAACCCAAAGAGAAGAGGGACAGAGAAGAAGGTAGACTCCAGTCTGGGGTGGGGGTGGAGTGTGTGTGTGTGTGTGGGGGGAGGCTGCTAGCCCAACAGTCAGCAGTTTGAATCCATCGGTTGCTCTGTGAGAGAGACTGGTGGTCGGCTCTGGTCAAGGTGCCTGTGAGCCCGTCTGCACTCATTGTGTCCTCTCCGAGACTAGACAAGCGAGAACTGCCCCACGCGCGCTGTGCATGGTCTCAGAGACCTGCGGCCTCATCTTTCTCTTGCAGGGTAAACGGGGGTGGTTCCGACGCCCCCCCCCCCCCCGCCATTCCAGAGGCAGCAGCGGAGGGCTTTAACCACCGTGCCACCAAGGCTCCTTTCTATCAGAGTCCTCGTAAAGCCAAGGGTCTGGGGAGGCCAGGGAGGGGCCGGTACTGACCGAGCCGCCCTCCACGATGTCCCTCCACAGCGGCCGGTCGGGGGGCTGCTCGGCCAGCTCCAGCAGGTTGTCCAGCACCACCTGGCCGATGAGGTCGTGTCGCGAGAAGCGGTCGAAGTCGTAGACGCTGAAGTGGAGTTTGCGCTGCGCCAGCTCGGCCAGGGGCACGGAGAACTGGAACGTCTCATTGAACACAGGGTTCAAGGTCTTCCTGTGCACCTGGGGGATGGGGAGACAGACAGAGTGGCCAGGGGAAGTCCAGGACTCACAGACCCTCCGCCCGCAGGCTCCTCTGCCCTCAGATCCAGGAGGCTGGACCACCAGCCTCCTCCCTCTTGGACTCAGGTGTCCTGACCTCCTCTCTCAGACCTAAAAATCCTGACCCCCAGCCCCTCCTCCCTCCCACCCAGGGGTCCTAACCTCCAGCCCCCTCCTCCCTCAGACCAAGAGTCCTGATCCCCAGCCCCTTCCTCCCCCAGACCAAGATCCCCTGACTCCCATGCTGACCTCCAGCCCCCTCCTCCCTCAGATCCAGGGGGCATGACCCCCAGCCTTTCCTCCCTCACATCTAGGGATCTTGACCCCCAGTCCCTCTCCCATTAGACCCAGACCCAGGGGTCCTGACCCCCAGCCTCTCCTCCCTCACATCCAGGGGTCCTGACCCCCAGCCTCTCCTCCCTCACATCCAGGGGTCCTGACCCCCAACCCCTCTTCCCTCACATCCAGGGGTCTTGACCCCCAGTCCCTCCCCCATCAGATCCAAGGGTCCTGAACCCCAGCTTCTCCCCCATTAGATCCAGGGGTCCTGATCCCCAGCCCCTCCCCCATCCGATGCAGGGGTCCTTACCCCCAGCCCCTCCTCCCTCACATCCAGGGGTCCTGACCCCCAGCCCCTCCCCCATTAGATACAGGGGTCCTGACCCCAGCCCCTCCTCCCTCACATCTAGGGGTCTTGACCCCCCAGCTCCTCCCGCATCCGATCCAGGGGTCCTGACACCCAGCCCTTCCCCCATCAGATACAGGGGTCCTGACCCCCAGCCCCTCCTCCTCAGACCCAGGAGCCCGCCTCCCCCACCCATCCCCTTCTGCCCCCAGGACAGGCATTCAGCCGGTGGCCCTGACCTTGGTCTGGAACTTTTTCTTGCGGTCGGGAAGCAGGTAGATCTTGACGTAGGGGTCGGAGAAGCCGTTGGAGTCCTTGGCGGGCAGGTCCAGCGCCTGCAGGATGCGCACCACCAGCTGGTCGGAGCCGTAGAGGTAGCGCAGTGCGAAGCTGATGCGGCCGCAGGGCGCGCCCCCCTCTCCCGAGCCCGGCGCCCCGCCGCCCCTCCGCGCGCCTGGCCCGGCGCCCTGGTACAGCTCCGGCTTGATCTGCCCGATGAGCTTGGCCTTCTCCTCGCCACCGGGCAGCGGTAAGGGAAGCGCGGGGGGCCGCTCCTCCACGCTGGGGTCCGGCTGCGGGGTGAGGGTCTGCTGGGTGAGGGGCCGCGGCAGGGCCGGGTACCTGCCGGGAGCGGGGTGGGTGGGGGGTCACCAACGTGGGGTCAGTGTCCTCCTCCCTTTACAGCCCCAAACTGAAACCAGACCCACTGCCTTCAAGTCCTTTCGGATTCATTGGGCTACCAAGACTTGCAAAGGGCCCTTCTTTGTCTCTGAGCTGCTGGTGGATTCGAACTGCCGATCTCTCTTTTAATTGCTCAACTCTTAACACACTGCACCACTGTTGTTGTTATGTATCATAGAGTCGCTTGGGACTCATAGCGCCCTTATGCACAAGGGCTCGGAATCCTGCCCTCTTCTGAGCCAGTCTCATTGTCTCCAACACACCTAACCCCGTTGCCCCAGTTACTGTGTCAATCCATCTCATCTGGGGTCTTTCTCTCCTGCACCGTCTGTCCCCCCACCCTTCAGAGCTTCTTCAAGGACTGGTCACTCCTGGGCACATGCCCAAAGTATGTGAGATGGAGATTCAAAATTCTCGTCTCCAAGGAGAGACTTGGCCCCAGTCTCCACTCTTGTTAGCTGTGTGATTTAACGTCCACTCATGGCCCTGGAGTCTCAATGGCATTGGTCATCCTTGTCTCTAAACTAGCTTAAACCCCTAGAGTCCTCCTCCTGGATTCAAACCTGCTACCGTGAGTCCCTGGGGTCCCCACACTGCATAGACCCCCATGAACTCGGCATGAAATCTCTCCTCCTGTCCCCACAGACCAGGCCTGGCTTAGGCCATTTCCTCTCTCAAGAACTCCTTTCACCTCATCCTGGAAGCGGCTTTCCTCCCTTCTCCCAAGCAGGCTGAATACTGGACTGCTGACGTGGGCGGTTCGAACCCACTGGATGGTTGGAGAGAGAAAGATGTAGTAGCTTCTGGTAAACAGCCTTGAAACCCTTATGGGCCAGTTCACTCTATCCCATATGGTCGCTTGAATCAGAATTTACTCAAATGGGTTTGGGTTTTGTTTGTTTCCTGCCTCCCTTCCTAAAGAAATGAAAAAAACCCAAGCCCATAGCTGTCAAATCAATTGCAACTCATGGTAGGATTGCCTCATAGTCCCCTGGGGCTCTGGCCATCTCTGGACAGAAGTCCACTTCTCCCATGAACCTCTGGGGTCATGCCAATCCCTTCCGGAGGCCGCTTGCCCTTCCTCTCTCTCGCCAAGTTGGCTCAGCTGCTGACCCAAAGCAGGATGGTCCTGATCTACCCAGAGGTGTCGTGGAAGAAAGGCCTGGCAATCTACTTCAAAAAAGTCTAGGCATGAAACCCCAGTGGGGCGCCATTCTGCTCTGAGAAGCTACAGGTCAGAACTAACTTGATGGCAATTAGCTTGGTTTGTTTGGGTGTTTCTTCCACCACCCTGGATGCTACCACCACCACCACCACCACCACCCCCAGAGCCCTGCACATGCTCACAAGTTCAAGGTCAGCTCAGTGTCTCTTTAAACTCTCTCCTTACACATCACCTGATGACCCCATGTCCCACCCATCATTAAGTGGCCAGCTTCAAGTCTTCCCTCCTCTGACCATTCATAGTCACTCTCTGCTTGCAAGACTCTTTCTACCCCATAACCTCTGCGTCACCCCCAGAGTCCCTGCTTAACCTCATGTCCTGTCTGGACTCTCCCACGTGGTCCCAGCACTGACTCTGCCCTTCCCCAGCTCACACACCTTCCATAGCTCCCTACTGCCTTTAGTGCAAATTCCCAGCTCCAGAGTCTGACGCTCAAGGAACCGCATGGTGCAGCCTCCGTCCATATCCAGAGCCCAAGTTCCTATCTACCCCCAAGTTATTCGATGTCACAGTTACTGCTAATTGTTCTCACTTTGCACTGTGCTCCCTTCCTGTTCCTTCTGCCTGGAAGGCCCAGCGCAAAGGGCTCCTGCTTTGCCTGGCCAACTCTTCCGCACCCATCTGAAATATCACCACCTCCAGGAAGCCCACCATCAAGGACGGACACCACGTGGGGGCTTCCTGAGCCACAGTGCACTGCTCTGATCTGGCCAATTCGGCTTGGACTGTGAGTGATGGCAGAACAGGTTATCTCCGTACTGTTTTCCAGACACCAAACTCCTCACAACTGGACAACGAACAGCGTCATGATGCTGAAAGCTGAAGGCTGCTGCCCAGGGTGTCATTTTCCTCAGATCCACCAATCAACGCTCGTGGAAGCCGCAGTCAAAAACTCACACCACATACAGCACTGGGCTCATCTACTGCCAAAGACTTCTCTCAAAGATTAAAAAGGAAGAGAACTAAGGTGCACAGACCTAGCTTTTTTCTTTTTTTTTTTAGTTCGATTTTTTTTAAAAAAAAACATTTGCAATGGAAATCCAAAGTCTCTGTAAACTTTCACGAAAATAAAAATTT